CTCCTCAAGCGCGCCAGCCAAAGCGAAATCCCACCAGCCCTTTTGACGTAGTTGGTTTAGCGCGCTTTCTCTTGCATCTTCCCCTCGTCCCCTTCGGGGAGGGGGTGATCACTGTTCCCTGTCCATAAACACCCCCTTCCCCCAGGCGACCAGCTGTCAACCAGGACCAATGAGACCCCCCACCATCCTTGTCAAAAAAGCGTGTGGTGCCCACTTTGGGGCAACATCTTGGGTAATGATCGGGGGGCGCGAGCACTTTGTGTATTGTTTGTTGACAGGGACGGCGGGGGTACAGGCCTATTGCCTGCTGCGCGCAGGGCCAACACTCCTGTTGAAAGAGTGCAACATGCACTCCGAAGCAAAATCTGTATTGTGCGCGGGCGCCCCGCGATCACTGTGCATTGGTTTTGGACTGGGACGGCGTGGGGGCTGGCATATTGCCTGCTATGTGCAGGCCAACCAAACGCTATAATGGCCACCACGCCGCGATTGCGCACTGGTTTTCGACAAGGGTGGTGGGGGCCGACACGTTTCCCGATGTGTGCTGCCACGTGCGCAGGCGCACCTGGCACGCTCTGTGCGTGCCCGAACGTTGCGCACCCGGCGCGGCTGGAGCATGCCGCACGCACTGCCCACGTGGATCACGTGGCGCATTTGGCGCACCAGGCGTCCCAGCACGCTTGGGCTACAGGGGTGCCTGGCGCACCTGGCGCGCGCGGCGCGCCTGGCACGCATGGCGTACTTCGCCCCCGCGTTGCGCACATGGGGTCTGTTTTGGTCTCCATTAGCTGACCATCTAAAAACTACGGCTGAACTCAATTCGGCTTGGGTGCTCCTTATATGTTGGGAAGGCGGCAGTGAGCGAGACGGTTTGCGGGCAGGGAGGGTGCCTTGATCACTGCTCCTTACTAACATGAACCCCCTCCCCCAGGCGACCGGGGGCAAGCCAGGCAGCGTGCCGAGACCATGCCCACCTGCCCCCCCACCATCCCTGTCAAAACACAATACAAACCGCACTCTGCCTCCACATGTGAAAAATGTGCGGCCAACCCGATGCGCCCCCCTAGAATCCCTGTCAAAAAACAATGCGAAGTACACTTTGGGGCAAAGTCTTGCTTCATGTTGGTGAGGCCCGCGAGCAAGTTGCTTTTGATAAGGACGGCGGGGGTGTCAGCATATTCCCTGCTGCGCGCAGGGCTACCATCCCTGACAAAAAACAATACAACATGCACCTCGCGGCTAAATCTGGATCACGCGCGGCCATCCCGCGATCACTGTCAAGTGGTTTCTGACAGGGACGGTGGGGGTGGTGGCGCGTGGCCTGCTGTGCGCAGGCCCAGCAGACACAATGATGGACATCGGACATAGGTTTTCGACAAGGATGGCGGGGGCCGACATGCTTCCCGATGTGTGCTGTCACGTGCGCAGGCGCACCTGACGCTCCCTGCACATGCCCCGAACGCGGCGCACCCTGGCGCGGCTGGAGTGTGCGGCACACCTGGCGCACTCGGAGCACGTGGCGCATCTGGCGCACCAGGCGTGCCTGGCACGCTCGGGCCCCAGGGGTGCCTGGCGCGCGTGGCGCCCCTGGCACGCGTGGCGCACCTCGCCCAAACGTCGCGCATCTGGGGTCGGCTTTGGTTACCAATAACTGTCCATCCAAAGACGACCGCTGAACACGCTCAGGCTCGGGTGCTACTTATGTATAGGGAGGGCGGGTGGGAGAGAGCTAGACGGCTTGCGGGCGGGTGGGCGTCTTGACCCCTACCCCTACCCTCTACCCCCTGACCCTGGACCTGGACGGCGCGCCCCGCGACCGATTAGAGCGTCCAAGATGGCCCATGATGGCTCCAAGCCAGCCTCAGAGAACCCCAGATGGCCTCAAAGACGGCTCAAGATGGTTCAGTATTGATCAAGGTGGCTTACACGATGCTCCTAGAGGCTTCAAGACCGCCTCAAGACGGCTCCACGTGACATCGGAGCACCCCCAAGAGAGCCCCCCAGAGGCCCAAATCCTTCCAAAACCAATGGAACACCATTTGTGTGTCTCCCCGTTTCGCTTCCATGGCCTTCCGAAGCCTCAAGATGGCTCCAAGATGGCACCAAGAGAGGCCCACGAGGGCCACAAAAGGGTGCCAAGAGCGACCAAGTGCGTTCCAAGAGGGCCCCAGTAGGCGATTTTAGATGCCCTAGGGTGAGGTGCCAATTAAGGGTCCCCTCTTCTCCGATCGTTAACCTACAATAGTGCTTCAAGATGGCCTCCAGGGCTCACCAGATAGCCCCAAGAAGCCCCCAAGAGGTGCCGAAACGGCCCCAAGAGGGCGCAAGAGGCACCCCTCAACGGCACCTAAGACGCCCTCGGGCGTTCAAGAGGCCTCTGGCCTTCTGATCGCCCTCCTCCTCCTCCTTCTCCTGCTTCTCATCTGCATGGTCCTTCTCCTTCTATCTCCTCCTCCTCCTCATCCGTCTCCCCCTCCTCCTTCTCCTCTACACCACTGATGGCCTCCAGACGGTCCAATACACCTCCCAGACGCTCCACGAGGCCTCCAAGAGCACTCCAGAAACGGGCCCAAGAGGTTAAAGTTATGTAGGGTCCTCTGGTATTGAAGAAAGTTGGTGCTATCGCCTTCGCAGCTTCCCGACGCTCCACGACGGCACAAAACACCCTCCACGATCGCCCCAATATCGCCCCAAGATAGCCCGAGAAGGCTCCAAGAGGGCCCCGAATCGACCCAAGAGAGCCACCAGACAGCCCAAGAGGCTTCCAAGACGGCCCAAGAGGCCCCCAAGACGGTTCCCAGAGCGTGCCCACACAAAGGACTCGAAAGGAGCGTTGCAACCTTCGGCCCCAAAGCCTCCGAGGAGGCACCGAAAGGTCCCAAGTGGCCACTGGAGGACCCCACGAGGCCCCCAAGAACCCCACTAGGCCCTCAGGAGGCTCCCAACAGAAACCCCAAGAGGTTCCAGGATACCCAAAAGGCCTCCCCCCCTCCCCTCCCCCCTCCTCGTCCACCTATTCCATCGCCCAGGGCCGTTCAGTAAACGCCAACTGTGAAGGAAGAGGAAGAGGGGACTGACCAGTGTAAACCCAAGAGTCATCAACGATGTTGGAATTACCCCTCCCTCCAAACTTCCTCTTCATAGGCCCCTACGGTTGATTTCCATTGGGGGAACTGCCTCGTTGGAAGACAACCGTTTGAAGCTCTTGAAACATACTAAAAAAGCGTGTCCGGGATTTCAAAGCCACATATCATCCTGACTGCTGCGTTTTGACGATCCAGAATCGCGCCATGACGCCATTTCTGGGGTTTCACCACAACGAAACAACATAACTCTTACACCCGCATAATCCAGAACCCTCCCGAAAACACAATTTCTGGTACCTTCATCATGGGAATCCCTGACACTCTTGTATTTGTCTAACGAATGTACGTGGCGCGAAAACGAGAACCACATTTTGAAAAGGAACCGCCCTCAATCCGTGAAGCCCTTGCAAATGTTTAAAACAAGTGCGCGCGGCGCTAAAGGGAAGAAGCACGTTCTGAAAACGACCCGCCCTCAATCCGTGACACTGTTGCAAGCGTCCAAAACGAATGCGCGCGGCACTAAGGCGAGAGCCACATTTTGAAAACGGCCCGCCCTCAATCCGTGAAGCACTTGCTGAGTTGTTAAACGCATGTGCGCGGCGCTGAGGCGAGAACCATATTTTGAAAACGGCCCGACCTCAACCCGTGAAGCTCTTGCAATGTTTGAAACGAATGTGCGCGGAACTGGTGCGCGAACCACATTTTGAAAACCACCCACCCTCAATCCGTGAAGCTCTTGCAATGTTTGAAAACGAATGCGCGCGACGCTAAAGCGAGAGCCACATTGTGAAAACGACCCGACCTCAATCCATGAAGCTCTTGCAATTTTTCTGAAAACCAATGTGCGCGATGCAAAGGCGAGAGCCACATTTTGAAAACCACCCGCCCTCCATCTGTGAAGCTGTTGTTACCTTTAAAGCTTGAGAATCATGAATGCTGGCCCCGGGGTGCGACAAGGAAAGGTTAGAAGGAAACGGAATGAAGGCGGAGGAAGGGAAGGATGAGGGGGAGGAGGAGAGAGGAGGAGAGGGAGGAGGAGGAGGAGGAGGAGGAGGAGGAGAAATAAGGAGAGAGGAGGAGAGAGTAGGAGTAGGAGGAGGGAGGAGGAGGAGGAGGAGAGGAGGAGGAGAGGAGGGAGGAGGAGGAGGAGGAGGAGGAGGAGAGGAGGAGGAGGAGGAGGAGGAGGAGCAGGAGAGAGAGAGGAGAGAGAGGAAGAGAGAGGAGGAGGAGAGGCGGATTGGGGGTCGGGGTGGCTTCTCTTCCTCTGAGCCTATCGCCCCCCCCCCCGAGGACGCAAGCAACGCCCGGTGGCGGCAGGCCCGCAGGGGGCCCCGCGAGGCCGCGGGGCGGCCGGCTCGCGGGCGCTGCCAGTCGAACCCGGGCGGCGGGCGGTCGCGAGGCTCTGCGGCGGCAGCGGGACGGTGGCCGAGGTCGGCGGCCGCCTATCGGAGGAGGAGAAGGTCTCCTCCTCCTCCTCCTCCTCGTCCTCCTCCTTCTCCTCCTCCTCCTCCTCGATCCTCCTCCTCCTCCTCCTCCTCGTCCCTCCTCGTCCCTCCTCGTCCCTCCTCCTCCCTCCTCCCTACCAGGTCGGCGGCCGCCTCTCGGCGGCCGGCTCGCGGGGGCTGCCAGTCGAACCCGGGCGGCGGGCGGTCGCGAGGCTCTGCGGCGGCGGCGGGACGGTGGCGGCCCGGCGGCGAACCGCCGGCCGAGGTCGGGCGGCCGCCATATCGGAGGAGGAGAGGGTGCCCTCACAGACCGCCACCCCCTCGGAGGAGGAGGAGGAGGAAGAGGAAGAGGAGGAGGAGGAGGAGGAGCTTTCAGGGCTTTCCGCCACTCGCAGGTGCGAGTCTGGCCCCGCGCACCCCCGCGCGGGGCTCCGCTCAAGGGCCGCGGGCCTGGGCCCCGCCCTTTTTCCGAGCGCGTCTGGCGGAGGCGCTCGGAGCCGTCGACAAGGGCCGCGCCCTGAGGCCGCCCTTTCTCCGCGCGCATCTTGCGGAGGCGTGCGGAGCCGTGGTATGCCGACTTGGCGAGCTGCGGCCTCAGCAGGTAGGAGCGGGCCCTCGCGCGTGGGCGCGTGGGCCCTCGGGGTCGGCCTCCCTCTCGCCGTCGGGCTTGTCGCAGTGGTCCGCGTCGTCGTAGTGCCCGCGCCCTCTTCGAGGGCGCCCCCGACGTGGGGGTGTCCGAGGGTGGGCCTCCTCGACCCGCTCCAGCTTCAGGTGCGTGGTGCGATAGGTGAGCAGGTCGAGGGTCTTCGCCAGCGTGGAGGAGTGGTGCCGCGTCCTCCTCGATGGCGTGAGTTCTTCGTAACTGCTTCTTGTTGACCTGCTGCAGGTGGGCGTACGTGTCGGGGAGCTGAGGTCTGCTTCTCCTTCTGCTGGTTGTACTTGCTGCTGCCACTCGTGTTCTGCGTCTGGCCGTAGGACTGGTACTCTGAGTCGCACATGTGCCCAACCCCGAGGAGCGGGCCAGTTGGGCATTCGTACCTTGTCCAGGGCCGCGCCCTGAGGCCGCCCTTACTCCGCGCGCGTCTTGCGGAGACGCGCGGAGCCGTGGTTCACCTTCTGGTCGTGCTTCTGCTTCCACTGGAGGGGGCGGGCCCGCGCGCGTCGGCGCGTGGGCCCTCGGGGTCGTGCCTGCTCTCGTCGTCGGGCTAGCCGAACGGGTTCGCGTCGTAGCGCCCGAGCTCTCTGCAAAGGTCTTCCCTGATGTGCGGGTGCCCGCGGGTGATACTCCTCTGTTTGCTCCAACTTCAGGCTCTGGCGGGAAATCAGGCCGCGGGTCTTCATCTGCTCGTAGGAGTGGCGCTTCATCCTCCTCGATGGCGCGGGTACCTCGTATTTGCATCTTGATGACCTGCTGCAGGGGCGCTCTCGTGTCGGGGAATTGAGTGCGGCTTCTCCTTCTTCTGGTTAATGTCTCCGCTGCCGCTCGTGAACTGTGACTGGTCGTTGCGTTCTGGCCCCCCAGGTTGTCGATACCCTGTACCCTCGATGGCCTTTGGGCTGTGGGCGAGCAGTGCGTGCCACCTGGGGCAGATCCAGCGGCATGGCGACGGGTGGGCATCTGAGAAGCCGCGTTCTGACACCCCAGATGGTCGGCACCCTCAACCCTCGACGGCCTTTCGGCTGCGGGCGAGCAGTGCGTGCCACCTGGGGCAGATCCAGCATCGTGGCGACGTTTGTGCGTCAGCGATGCTGGACTGGTACTCTGCGTCGCACTTGTGCCCAACCCCGAGAAGCGGGCAAGTTGGGCATGCTCGATATCTGTATCTCGATCATCCACAGTCTCCTCTGTCTTCTCCTCCGCTGCCTTCTTGAACCAGTTTGCTGAGGGTAACAACTGCCACGGCCAGGTAAGGGCCCGCTCCCATTGGTTGAGGAGGCTGATCAGGGTCTGCTTCCCTGCGGTGGGTAGTCTTTTCAGGTCCGTCGTGCAAATCATGTCCACTCCCTTTCCCTTGTCGGGTACGCCTTTCGAGCACCTGATCAGGTCCTCGGTGGTCCAGGGGTCGTGTTCATCTTCTTCTCGCGCATCTCGTCTGAGTTCATTCAAATAACCTTCAAGTGATGTATGTTGTGCATATTCGCGTTCTCATAACTTTTGAAAATCGACAACATTCTGGTCGATCATACCCTTCGGGCTGCCTATGTTGCCGCATTCAGTATGTATCTCATGCTCGTGTCGGGGTGGCAGCTTATTGATCCGATGCAGAACTCCGATGGTCTTCTCCGCTTGCGCCAACCGTAGACTGTACTGCTTGCTACTGTCCCGCATGTCTTGCTTGTGTGGTATCGGTTCCAACGCTGCCATCCTATCTGCCCATATCTGCTGGTGCATTTCAGCGTGCGTGGCCTCCTTCTCAACTGGTGGCAGCTCTTCCCGAACGAGGCGTCGTCCTGCGCTGGCGAGTGCTTCCTGCTGTTGAAGGCCTCGTCCGCGTTCTTGTAGTGCTTGTAGTTTGACCAGGGTGCTCTGCACTATGTCGGCCCTGTTCCACCAGTCTGTTCCACCAGTCAGCGGCACTGACTTGTAATAGCATGGGTGCCCACGCCCGCAAAATACTGCTCTGCCTGCCCAATCCACTTTGTAAGCCTTGCAATAGAATTTCTCCAGTGTGCCGATGAACTGGTGGTGTTGCCGCCCTAGCCGTTCAGCGCCGTTCAGGTCGGTCTTGTATGCTGCGTTCTGCGTTGTGTACCCGGGGTCTGTGTCAGTCGACTCCAAGGCTTGCAGTTGCGCTGCCACCTCCCAAGTATCGCCCATGATTGTGGTGTTCACCCCTGCTGCTTTGTCCGCGATCCGCTGCTGCATCGTCTGTGAGGAAGTCCTGTGGGTTTCCTTCGACAGGTCCGACGATGTGGTCGTGGCTGCATTTGGGTCGTGCATGGTCTCATCCGTGCTCTCCGCCTTTTGAGTAGTATCCTTCGCCTCTGGTGTGTCCCAGGCCCCTTCGCCATCTTCGGGCATGAGAATGTTGCTGTCCGCGTTGAGAAGGTTCGCATCCAGGTCGACGAGGGGGTCTATGTCCTCGCTGTCCATTTGTGTGACGACTCGTCTTGGGACGGGTCCGCTGGTCTCGACGTCAGCGATCGCCTCAGTCTGGTTTCTCTTACAACCGTCTGGTCCAAGGGTTTCCCATCTCGCCGTGTCGGTCTCGGCGGTCTCGTCATCGGAGAGGTTGTCAGATTCGTCCAGGACTGGTAGCGCTGCTTTCTTCTTCTTATTATTTGCTGCTTTGCTGTTGGGGTCGGCCTTCTTCGTCGACTTGGGGTGGGGAGATGCTTTCGGCATACATAATCTTCTGCATTCGTTCACCTGCGCCGCTGCCTGCATTGTAATAACCAGCCCCACATGTGGTTTCCCAGGTACATCGTGAACAGCGCGTATACCTCGAACAAGTCTCTGGCCACCAGGGTTGACCAGGGCGAAGCCTATGTTCGAGGGGATCTCGTCACCTGAGAAGGACATGTTCTGGCCCCCTGGCAATTGGACCACACCCGTCGCGCCCAGTGCCGTCGGCCACCCTGTCTTCTCGAGTGCGTCGAACTCGCAATTATAGTCGCCGCAGATGATCCACGGCACGGAGGTAGTATGCAGGAATGCCGCGAGCGAGGTCAACTTCTTGGCGTTTACCCCGTCGACGAGGGAGGCGTCCGGGTCCAAGTAGAGGGAGATGATGAGCAGCGATGTGCCCTTCAAGTGGAGCGTGACTGGCGTCCAGTCGATCATATCCATGTCGCACGGCCCTTGGTGAGTAGTCACACTCGAGGTCGTGTCTGCCCGTGCCTTGTGGCGTAAAGAGGTAGCCTTCAGGTGGCCCTTGGTGATGACAGCTGTGCCACCGTGGTGCCCCTTCATGCTCTTCTCGCTCTGCCTGGCTTCCGTGAAAACTGCTGAGAACCCAGATTTCTGCAGCTCGTATTCCACGTCATTGAGTTGTGCCTGTGCCAAGTGTGTTTCCTGTAGCGCGTAAGCATCGTAAGATTGCTGAAGCCCGTCGCGTCGGATCCAACTCTTGGCCGTCGGTCCCCACGTTGATATGTTGGCGAAAAAGATCGCGCGGTCCAGGGGCTCGGCGTCGCCAACGGGTCGCCTGCCCCTCCGCGGTGGTCCCTAGTGCTGGCCTGAGCCAGCGCTTGCCCCTCCGCTGCCGCCAGCTGCCTCCTCCGCCTTCCTGCGCTGCTCCAGGAAGGCGCCTGCTCCGTCGACGAGGATGACGCCGGGCTCGCCTGCAGGTGTGGGTGCTGCTGCTGGAGCTGGGGCCGCTGCTGGGGCTGCCTGCGTCTCCTTCGATGTTTCACCTGAGCCCGCCTTCCGCTTCTTGTAGGCCTGGGTGATCGTGGCGCGCTCCTGCTCTGCTTTGTCTTTCGCCTGCTGCAAGTGGTCTTTCAGCTGGCCCCTGAAGGTCGTTGCCGTCTGCCGTAGATGCTCCAGGACTTGCTTCTTCGCTAATTCCACTTGCCGCTTTCCTTCTTCATCCATGTCCTCGTCGTACTGGAAGTGAGCCTCGACCTCGGCGATCTCGATCTCCGATGGCTGGATCATCTCCGTGTCTGCGTTCAGCAGCTGGTCGAAGATGCTCTTCGGCTTCTCCTTGCCCTCCTGCTGGATCATCTCTATTTCCTTCTCCGCGTTCAGGACGTCGTCGGCACTGGCCGTGAGCCACTCTGTTGCCTTCTTCGCCTTCTCGTCGGCCGACTGTTTTGCATCGTACGCCCATTTGTACTTTTTGTTCGCATCCTCGAGTTTCCTTGCTGCTTCTGCCAACCGTAGTGCTCGGGACTTGGGAACCTGTGCTGGGGAACTCGCCGCAGCTTGGAGTGCTGTGGCCACACTCGTAAGCTGCTTGGCGATGCCGTCTTTGTTGTCGCACTGGAGGGTGGCCAGGGAGCTCGTCATCGTCTGCAAGGCCGTGGCTATCTGCGCGAAGCCCTTTTGGTTGGAGCCCGTGGCACCGTCAGTACGGTACTGCTTGTCTTTGTCCTTATCCTTGCCCTTGCCCTTGCCCTTGCCAGCGTTGCCGTCGCCCTTCGTCATCGTCATATCTCGTTTGGGCCTAGCAACTCGGCAGCCGCAGGAGCACCAGTAGTCGCGCGACTCCATCTGCGATATCCACCACCACATCTTGCATTGCTTGCATGTCGCCCACTGTGTCGGTGCCATGCTGCCGTGGTGGAGGTTCAGGAGGAGGCGGGCGTTCACCAGCTGGAGATCCTGACGTGTCTGGCTCCTGCGCCTACGGAGGCGCCTGTGCCAGGCAGGGGAGCGTGACCTCGTGGGTCTGCTCGGGCTGCGCGCCGTCGGCGCTGGGGGCTCTGCAATGGCACGGGCCGCGGCGGCCGCGGGGCAAAATGCTGCGGCGTCGCGCGGCCCGCTGCGGAGCCACCTAGGAGGAGGAGGAGGAGGAGGAGGAGGAGGAGGAGGAGGAGGAGGAGGGAGGAGGGAGGAGGAGGAGGAGGAGGAGGAGGAGGAGGAGGAGGAGGAGGGGGGGAAGAGGAGGAGGGGGAGGAGGAGAAGGTCGGGCGGCCGCCCATCGGAAGAGGAGAGGGTACCCTTATACCTACCGCCACCCCCTCGCCCGTTTTCCCCTGTTTGGGGCGTCCTGAGAAGCCCTCGCTGCCACCGCTCGATGCGCCTGGAAATCCTGGGCCGAACGCGCCCGGGGAGAGGCCCGGGGGGAGTAGCGGCATCGGTACCTTGTGGTTTTCCCGGCCTCGCAGCGGGGCCCACGGTGGGCCGTCGGCGGCGCCAGCGGCGGCGGGCCGACGGCGCCGCTGGCACTAGGTCGGGCGTGCCCCCCTACAGCCGGATTTTTGGATAAAAAATAACCAAGAAATGCTCAAGCATGTGTGAAAAATGCGCACAAATCGTCACCCGACCATTTTTCGACGATTTTTTCTTTTAATTCTGCAGAGGGACACGCCCGACTTAACGCTGGCCGAGGTCGGCGGCCGCCTCGCAGCGGAGCCCAGCGCGGTGGCGGCGGGCGGGGCTTCCCAGACCTGCTCGCTGAGCATCGTTGAGCTGTCAGCCGATCCGGATCCCCACGTGCGTGGCCCAGGCCCCGTTGGCCGATCTAGCCCCCAAAGGGGATGTGGGCTGTTCCCTTCGAGTTTCGAAGGGCATCTCCCAAAGTGGGGCGGTGGGATGACGGGGATCGGGATGGCGATCGGATCGGGATGGCGATCGGGCTCCGCATCGAGCCGCATCGGCGCTGCATCGACGATGCGGCACGATCCTCCGACCCCATCTACTCCGACCCTATCTGGGAGACCTGGAGGGAGGAAGCAAGGGGACCAGCGCGCTCGCGCAGTGGGGGCCCCGAAAAGTCCACACACACATACCTCCGACAGTGTATGTTTATGTGGTGTTGTTCTTCGACGTCGGGCGAGAAACAGGGGGCAGGGCAATGGAAGGGGAGGCTGGAGAACCAGCGCACGCAGCTGAGCCTTCCCGCGCCGCAAGGACACCCAGAGGGAGGAGCCCTTCTCGATCGAGGAGGGGCGCCTGGTAGAAGCCAGCTGCGCCCGGCCGGCTGGCCGAAAAAGGGGAAACTGAATCCCCCGTTTTCGGCAGGCGCGTCCGTTTAAGGTCATGGGCCCTCCGCGGCCGTTGGGGACGATCCGGGCACCCCTTGGAACGCCCTCGGCGAGACGCAGCTGCTGGAGAGCCCCCCGAGGCTGCAGAACGCCGAGAGCCCATGAATCGGCGATGCGGCGCGGTCCTGTGACCGCATCCACTTCGGCCCCACTTGGGTCGGAGGGTGAAAGTGGGGTCGGGCGCAGGGTTCTGGCAATGGTGTCTTTATGGGCCATGCATGGGCGATGCATCCTCGATTGCTGTGTTTGGCGGGGGAACCAATTGAAGATCCCCGCCTGCACCCATGCGCGAGACTTGAGGGTCAACCGAGCAAGGGGGCGGGGGGGCTCGGGAAAGGCGACGAAGGCAACGTGCGCTGAGGGCGCAAAAAGAGAAAGGTTGGAATAAACGAATGCGGTGAGGTGACTGTCGACATCTGCCCAGCCAACATGACATGCGGGCACTGCACCTCAGTTTTAAGGACCTTGAGAGCCAGGGCCAAATGTGAATTCAGTGTGGGGACAAGCAAAATGTGAATCCACATGTTGGCACAAGGGATAATGATAATTCACTTTTTGGGGAAACATAATGTGAAGTTACATGTTGGAGTTGTGTATAGGAGTCTGTATGAAAGGGCCAAACTGTGAATTCACATGTTGGGATTAAGGAACATGTGAATTCACATGTTGGAAATAAGGAACATGTAAATTCACAAATTGGGAAAATGGAGGGACCCATTCCCAATCTGTCTTGGGGTTCGACAAGTCACCGTATGGGAACATACACGATCACCAATCGCACAATCAAGGCACACTTCCGCACCACTTCGCCGCCTCGCGCGCGATATGCAAGAACGCCCACCCGCATGAACGATAATGGATGGACGGCGCTTGCCCGGCCCGCGCGGGCAAGGCGCGAGCACGAAAGTCTTGCCCTCCATGACCGCCAACTCTGGCTGCCAATCATACCCGATCACATACATGAGCGAAACATTGACCATACATGGACCATTCAGCCCCCATTGAAGACCCCCTGTTGCAGACCCGTTCCTTCACCCTCCAATTGAGAGGAGGAGGAGGAAGAA